GGCTACCTGACCCATGCGTCAACTTCCTACTTGGACGAGGAGGATGCATCGGGCGAGTCACCACTAAATGAGGCTGCTTCTACCATCACCGAGCTCCTGCTGTCCGCATCTGGCCAAGTTAATGCTGAGCTGGAGGAGAAGATCAAACAATTGGTCGAGAAATGGGTCGACAAATACACTGAGGCCAATGGAGGCCAGAGACGAGGACCTTCGACTGTCAAGCGCCTAGACCAGACTATCCAAGTGAGCCAGCAGCGCAACATGTCGTCCACTCTGGCTGTGGCGACCGGTGGCGTGGACCTGGAGTCTGCAAACGCAAGGAAGGTTGAATCGAAGGTCGATCGCAAGAAACTTGAGAAGGCAGAGAGAAAGATTGCCGCCAAGCAGCAGAAGAAGACCTTCAAGACTGTCGAGTACGAGGCATCCAAGCTGCTTGACCAACCCGAGTCGACCCAGTCATACGAAGAGTTCTATATGGCCGTCAACCCTCTGCAACTGGGCTCCAGCTCCACAAACAAGTCAAAGGATATCAAATTGGACAACATCGATGTGTCGATCAGTGGAAACCGCATTCTTACGGACACAACGCTCACTCTCGCCTATGGCCACCGCTATGGTTTGGTTGGTAACAACGGTGTTGGTAAATCAACACTGCTTCGAGCTCTCTCTCGTCGTGAGGTTGCAATTCCGCTCCACATATCCATTCTGCACGTCGAGCAAGAAGTAAGTCTCTGTTGAATCAAGAAAGACCATAGCTGACAAGAAAGATTACTGGTGACGACACCCCAGCTATCCAGGCGGTTCTCGACGCCGATGTTTGGCGCAAGGTTCTATTGAAAGAGCAAGATGTAAGTCTGATTTCCAGCCATCACGGATACCTACTAAAGATGATAGCAAATTACGGCTCGTCTGGCAGAATTGGAGAAGCAACGTGCTTCTCTGGCCGACACATCTGCTGACGCGGCCAGAATCGATCGTGATAGAGAGGCCCAGGATACCAAGTTGGGAGATGTTCAGTCCAAGTTGGCCGAAATGGAGTCAGACAAGGCCGAGTCACGAGCTGCTAGTATTCTTGCTGGTCTCGGTTTCTCATCAGAGCGACAGCAGCACGCCACCAAGACCTTCTCTGGTGGTTGGAGAATGCGTCTGGCTCTTGCCCGAGCACTATTCTGTGAACCTGACTTGCTTCTTCTTGACGAACCTTCTAACATGTTGGACGTTCCTTCAATCACATTCTTGTCCGAGTATCTTCAAACATACCCCAGCACCGTCCTGGTGGTCTCTCACGACAGAGCGTTCCTCAACGAAGTCGCCACCGACATCATTCATCAACACTCTCAGCGTCTCGACTACTACCGTGGAGCCAACTTCGATACCTTCTATGCTACTCGTGAGGAGCGCAAGAAAGTCGCCAAACGAGAGTACGAGAACCAGATGGTCCAGAGAGCCCATCTACAGGCATTTATCGACAAGTTCCGGTATAACGCCGCTAAGTCTTCAGAAGCTCAGTCACGTATCAAGAAGCTCGAGAAGATGCCGGTCCTTGAACCCCCAGAGGCTGAGTACAGCGTCAAGTTCACTTTCCCCGAGGTCGAGAAGCTATCGCCCCCTATTGTACAGATGTCTGAGGTCACTTTTGGTTACAACAAAGACAACATCCTGCTCCGCAATGTTGACCTGGATGTCCAGCTGGATTCTCGAATTGGTATCGTCGGACCCAACGGTGCAGGTAAGACAACTATCCTGAAGCTGCTCATTGGTAAGCTGGATCCTTCGTCTGGTCTGATCTCGCAACATCCCCGTCTGCGAATTGGATTCTTCGCTCAGCATCACGTTGATGCCCTCGACCTCAACGACAGTGCTGTGGGTTTCATGTCAAAGAACTATCCGGGACGAACAGATGAAGAATACCGCCGACGACTTGGTGCCTTCGGTATCACCGGCACAACGGGTCTGCAGAAGATGGGATTACTTTCTGGAGGTCAAAAGTCTCGTGTTGCTTTTGCTTGCCTGGCTCTTACGAACCCCCACATTCTGGTTCTTGACGAACCTTCTAACCATCTTGATATTGAAGCCATGGATGCTTTGGCCGAAGCGCTTAACGAATTCCAGGGTGGTGTGCTGATGGTGTCTCACGATGTCACAATGTTGCAGACGGTGTGCAAATCGCTCTGGGTTTGCGATGGAGGCACTGTCGAGAAGTTCCCTGGCGATGTTCAGGCGTACAAGAAGAGAATTACCGCGCAAGCCAATGCTGCAGGTGTCGTTAAGCAGCATTAAGTACGTAGCCAAATTGATAAGACCGACTTTATGGTCCAGATAGATTGGCCGACAACTTTGAGACCAGATGACCTATTATACCTAATGTGTGATACGAGCTGTTCATGTCCCTGTCTTCAGCTACTCGCTAGGTACCTATTGAGCTGATGATAGTTTCCTTCCACAAACACAACAATCAAGATTTTGACTCATATGGCCGACCCTGATGGTACTGATGCATAATGCGAGGTTGTGTTACATGTGATGTCGATAAAATGGGCTCGGACGGGTTTCTATCAGAGCCTCGACGAATAAATGACAATTCGCACTCAATAGCAACAATGAGCGTTTAGTTTCAAACAAAACATTTTTGAATGATGCACCTAAGGACTCTACGTCTTGTTTTTTTATCAAAAGTTCCAACTCCCTTCCTGCAAAAAACTTAACTGAGTGCAGCGTCTCAACATTGACGAGAAGCACTCAACACCCACAGATCTTCGGTCTCAATCATTGCCTATCATGTCAGAAATGGAAGGCGTCGTGGCCACCCAGGCGGTCGTCGCCATGGATATCACAGAACCCGATCCTCACGAAAGCCGCGATGAAAACAAACCCGCGTTCGATATCAAGAAGCCCAAGCCAACACTTCAAATCCGCGACAATCTACTGTACTGGAAATGCAACCAAACACTCCACGACGGCAGCGTCTGCGGTTCCTACAACGAGCTGGACTTCAAGCAGTGCAAGGACTGCAAGAGCCGACGCGGTATTGGAGATGATGGCACTGACGCCTACGGCACTAAGATTGCAAAGATCGTCTCTGTTAACAACAAGAATGGAGAGGAGCTTTGGCAGTACGCTTCGGACGAATAGGTCAGCGCAAAAAGACGTAGATGGTTCACATGGATGCGAGGCCTATCAGAGAAGACATGAATAGGTACAAAGCGAAGGAGAACTCACTGGTCATTTGCGCGCAAGAGATGTCGCTTTTTCCTCAGACTTTTACGAATCATGAGAAATGGATCAGATTTGATTTTAGAGGTGGCCTATAGGTGTCGACGAGTTGTTCCTCAAAGGAACTTCCAAGCAACATCTACTGCAGAGAGCACCATAGCCCCCCCAAAGCTTTCCAAATTATACCTGTCACAGGAGAACCTATTCTTCATCCCTGAAGAGTCTCCTTCAGAGTCATTCAGTTGTGCATAAATCCATGTGTTTCGTGACAACCTGAGACTTCCAAAGAGAAGCCACATCATGAACTTTAGTGCCGTCCGTCTAGTAGAGAGCATCCTAGAGACAGATCAGTAGACACGGGTGATGCACACCCACTTGACCATGTCCAACGAATCCATATAATCTGTAAACACTCTTTACTTTTAGTTGGCGAAGCAGGGGTAGCTTACTGGTTGTTATATAGGTAACTAGACTTTGCTTTGATGTTTGTATATGCTTGTTTCTTCTGAGGACTGTTGTTTCTTTTCTCTAATCGATGCAATCAGGTGAATTCATATGCTTCGTCTGGTTTCCAATCCTTTACACCATATAGATTCCTCCTACGTTCTTTCGGTTCCCTTGCCCTTACTGCGGGCGAGAAAATGTCACCTGTTGAATGCACCTTAGTAACCCGAGGACTGAATAGTACTCGGGCCTCAGGAACACAGAGACCTCCAACCTTGCACCAAGGTGTTGAAAACCTTTACATCAGTCTTTTTTGTCGTTGGTGATAGAGATATTAGGGCTTGTTGCCTCCCAAGCCTAGGTAGGTAGGTAGGTAGGTAGGTAGGTAGGCAGATTGGAGGTAAGACTGATTGGCGCCCAGGTTCAGATATATGTGCCATTGAATGCCTAACCAATGAATATCAAGTATGAAAGAAGATGCAAATTGAAGGCTCTCAATGCAATTGGAGCCTTACTTCACTGGTTGGCATTTTCTACTGTATATTTTCGAAAATACAAAAACAAACTTGGGGATTCACTTATGTACTGTGTTATGGCCTCATTTTTAATTCTGATCGCCCGAAGCCGTATGTTCATCTCGGATGGTCAAATCGCCAATTTACCAGTGGGGCTAGTCTTGCTGGCACTCCATCAGTTGGTGGCGGCGATCTGGCGATGCTTCACACACTGACTGGGCTGCCAGCGTGGCTGGCCTTAACGGCGCGTACCTAGGTAGTTATAGGTGGCTTTGACAACGGCTCGATTCATGACAATTGAGCTTACTGAACAAGTATATACCTAAGCTAGAGCTCTATAGGTAGATTCTTCTTTTATCTCAGCTGCAGTATAAGAATTTACCACTTCCATTCTTAATATGCATCTGGAGATAAAACGGCGGGCTGCTATTTCCTCCTCCCCATCGGCAGTGACAGGTGCGGATTCATTGGCGTGCCTGCCACTGCGGGGACCTTTCAGGCGGCGCCTTGCCCTTCTGGACGCGCGCACGGACCAAGAGGTAAACAACTGAGAGTGCTTACTGGTCCAATAGCCTGGAAGGAACCGCCCTGCCCCTTGTTTACCCCCTGCTGGGCCCTGGAGCCGTGGCGGTGAACAATTTCACCCTCTTGACTGAGGTGCCCTCCAGCTGCAAACAAAAATCAACATCGCCCTTTGGTCTCTTTCCATCCCAACCCACTCTTCTCCTCCGTTAAAGCTAGGTCTACTTCAGCTCTTCGACGACTTTGGCCCATTTCATTCCTCCTTCTCTCTAAAACTCCAGATTACAGTCATCCACATTCATCAACATGCGTGAGATTGTAAGTGCCTCTCTTTTTAAGTTCGTGTTGTGCTGTTGCACGCGTTGAGTTTATGGTGCCCCTGATTCTACCCCGCTGGGCGGTGGCAGCTCAACGACAATGCACGATAGCTAGCAGCTTTAAATACCTTCTGTCAAGATGAAGAAGCTAATCAGATCTTTTCTCTGCGATAGGTTCACCTCCAGACCGGTCAGTGCGTAAGTGCTCATCGCTTCCTCGACGTCGCATGTGGGGGATGCTCACGATGTTTATCAGGGTAACCAAATTGGTGCTGCTTTCTGGCAAACCATCTCTGGCGAGCACGGCCTCGACAGCAATGGTGTCTACAACGGTACCTCCGAGCTCCAGCTCGAGCGTATGAGTGTCTACTTCAACGAGGTATGCTTTAACAGTCAATGCCAAGAATTCCCAAGCTCACACAACTAGGCCTCTGGCAACAAGTATGTTCCCCGAGCCGTCCTCGTCGATCTTGAGCCTGGTACCATGGACGCCGTCCGAGCTGGTCCCTTCGGTCAGCTCTTCCGTCCCGACAACTTCGTTTTCGGTCAGTCCGGTGCTGGAAACAACTGGGCCAAGGGTCACTACACTGAGGGTGCCGAACTAGTCGACCAGGTCCTCGACGTCGTCCGCCGCGAGGCCGAGGGCTGCGATTGCCTTCAGGGTTTCCAGATCACCCACTCTCTCGGTGGTGGTACCGGTGCCGGTATGGGTACCTTGCTCATTTCCAAGATCCGCGAGGAATTCCCCGACCGAATGATGGCCACCTTCTCCGTCGTTCCCTCCCCCAAGGTCTCTGACACCGTCGTTGAGCCCTACAATGCCACCCTCTCCGTCCACCAGCTGGTCGAGAACTCTGACGAGACCTTCTGTATCGATAACGAGGCCCTCTACGATATCTGCATGCGCACCTTGAAGCTATCCAACCCCTCCTACGGTGACCTCAACTACCTCGTTTCTGCTGTCATGTCCGGTGTCACGACCTGTCTGCGTTTCCCCGGTCAGCTGAACTCCGATCTCCGAAAGCTCGCCGTCAACATGGTGCCTTTCCCTCGTCTACACTTCTTCATGGTTGGCTTTGCCCCTCTGACCAGCCGTGGTGCTCACTCTTTCCGCGCTGTCAGCGTTCCTGAGTTGACCCAACAGATGTTCGACCCCAAGAACATGATGGCTGCTTCAGACTTCCGCAACGGTCGCTACCTGACCTGCTCGGCCATTTTGTGAGTGAATCTGATTTTGCACATGGTGATTATTTGCTAACGTTCTACAGCCGTGGCCGTGTCGCTATGAAGGAGGTCGAGGACCAGATGCGCAATGTCCAGAGCAAGAACTCTTCTTACTTTGTTGAATGGATTCCCAACAACATCCAGACAGCGCTTTGTGCCATCCCTCCCCGAGGACTTACGATGTCCTCGACCTTCATCGGAAACTCTACCTCTATCCAGGAGCTCTTCAAGCGTGTTGGTGAGCAGTTCACTGCCATGTTCCGACGCAAGGCTTTCTTGCATTGGTATACTGGTGAGGGTATGGACGAGATGGAGTTCACTGAGGCTGAGTCCAACATGAATGATCTTGTCTCCGAATACCAGCAGTACCAGGATGCTGGTATTGATGAGGAGGAAGAGGAGTACGAGGAGGAGCTCCCTGAGGGTGAAGAGTAAGCATGCTCCCCAATGTGCTGAAACAACTGGCCGCTATGTTATGTTTGTCGTATAGCCGGCCCGCAACTTCTTTTCGAGTGTAGTTGTTGTAATTCTGGGGTTAAGATATCCTCAATAGTGGCAGTACACTATGGTTGTATGAGCCGAATTAAATTCCAAGAGTACTATTGTACCAATTCAATTCTCAATGATGGTGAAACTAGCACCGACTACTAGATTTAAACTGGTCACAAGCCAGTCTCGCCGAGTACTCGATTTGTTTATGTGACATGAAGTTAAAGCATCGGCAGTCGGACCACGTTGACCGACGGACCCTTGATGTAAATTATCATGCTAAGCACGTGATACCATTACTAAGCGCGAAAAGTCGAGCTTCATCAGCTTGTCAACCTCGTTCGACAAGCCAATACTGCTGCACGCCCACGGCAGCCATCTCGACACCAATGGCCGCCATGTTTACTCCCAGCCGGGGGAGGGCAATCGGACGAGCCATTGCGGCCTCATCGTCTGGCTCTGTTACCCTCCCTAGCTTCCTGGTGCCAGCATGGCAAGCGACAGCACCCAAGGTGGCATCTTCCCGAGCCGCCATTGCCCTCTTCTCCACGACTTCGAAGCGACCATCCAAGCTGGGAAGAACCCCTCTATCGATTCCTCCTGGAGTAGAGCTGTCTGTTAGCGAACCGGTGGCGAGCAAGGACTTGACATCATACAAGAAGGTGTACAAGAAAACCATCACCGTAAAGGGACCGTTGGGTACGAGAGAACGGCACCTGGGAATGAGGTGAATAATTGCTGACTGGATGTTAGGAGAGCTTGAGCTCCAAGTTCCTGAATATGTGCAGGTGACGCAAGATCCTGAGGCCAAGGTGGTATCGTTGAATGTCCAGGACACTGACGCCAGGGACCAAAAAGCCATGTGGGGTATGTTCACCAGTTATCATCACCCTTGATGCTATTGAGGCTGACAATTGGATAGGAACAACATGGTCTTACCTAAGGAACTATATAATGGGTGTCTCGGAAGGTCACACGGCCATTCTCCGTCTCGTCGGTGTCGGTTACAGAGCGAGTGTCGAAGAGCGAGGTGGTAAAGAAGAATTCCCTGGGCAGCGCTTCCTGTGCCTCAAGCTCGGGTTCACTCATCCTGTCGAGGAGGGCATCCCTCGCGGCGTGACCGTAACAACTCCTGCGCCTACGCGTATTCTCATTGAGGGAATTGACCGCGAGACCATCATGTCGTTTGCTGGACGAGTTCGCATGTGGCGTCCTCCGGAGCCTTACAAGGGTAAGGGCGTGTTTATTAACGACCAGACGATCAAGCTGAAGCAGAAGAAGATCAAATAGAGAGATGGTATGTGGGAATTTATACTGGCCAGCTTGGTGGCTTGGGCTATTGGACGCAGCTGGCGTGTGTATACTAGTATCGTGTACAGATTTGTGTGTACTATTTGACGAGGCATATACAAAACTACATTTTCTGCTTGAAACTCTCGCTTTCTTTCGACTCATGCCTGTTTGTTTACCTATTTATTTTCCCTTATGACTGTTTGGCGCTCAGAACCTCCTGGACAGCTTCGAGAACTTTGCCATGAACAGCAGCAGGGGCGGCAATGACGCCCTTGTTGTTGGCCAAAGTGCGTCCTACACTGAAGTCGAGAGGCTTTCCGTGAATGTCAGTTACTTGGCCACCAGCCTCACGAACAATGAGATCACCGGCAGCGTGATCCCAGATCTTCTCCTGATATGTGGCCTTGACAGGCAGACGGAGGTAGATGTCGCCAGCGCCGCGGGCAATAGAGCCATACTTAGCCTGGCTGTCCATGCGGACACTCTCCTGGGTAATACCAAGCTTCTTCGAGATAAGAGCTTGGTCATCATGTGCTGAGTGGCCTGCCTCAACGCTCTCGCAGAAGGTAGCCTTGGAGAGGTCATCAATGCTTCGCATGGAAATGGGCTTCTCAGTAGCAAGAGCGCCAGAAGTAAGAGGCCGGCTGTTAGCGCCATGACCCTGCACGGCAGAGAAAACAACACCACGGCCCTCGTCGGTGGCATTAGAGCCAATGTCGGAGGTAAGACGGGCTGAGTCGTCAACTGGAAGGTTAGGGCAGCCAAGGACACCGACCTTGACGTCCCCGTCGACCATGAGACCCAGGCAGACAGCGTATTGCCCACCACGGAGGAAGCCCTTTGTACCGTCAATGGGATCGATTGCCCAGATACGACCGCTGGAACCACCCTGGCTGCCACCTCTATCGATCAATTCCAACATATCGTCAACATCCTTGATGGGGCCACCAAGTTGTTTCTCAGCATCTTCATCGTCGAGCTTTGTAGAGCTGACGAGCTCCCAGATAGTCTGCTTCAGGTTCGCATCGTCATGGAGCTGCGCAGCCTCCTCCTCGGCGACAATAGCGTCGTCGGGGAAGTTGTGGCGGAGAGCGGCGATGATGAGGGCCTGGGCGCCAAAGTCGCCAATGGTGACAGGGCTCTTGTCATTCTTGTCAACGGTTCCCTTTGCCTTTTCATGGAAGACGCGCTTGGTGAGGATCGTAGCACGCTGAACGGCCAATTGGGCGATCTGAAGCTCTGAGGCGTAAGATGGAGAAGCCATGGTTGTGAGCGGGCGTTGGAGGAGGATCAGATGGGAAGAGAGTTGGCGGAGACGGGGGACGAAGGCTGGCGAAATAAGGATAGCCAGGATGAGGGTCAATAAGAAAAGAATAAAGGATCTAGAGAAGAAGAGCTTTGGAGTAGCAGCGGGCATACAAGGCAACGCAACGAAATGTAGGCTACTAAGTAAGGTAGCTACTAAGTAACGTGGGATGGCGCAATTGTCCTTGTGTTTTTTATGGTGGTGTTAAAGCTTAGAGTAGACACTGGTTGGTCTCTTTCGGGTCGTCGGGCGGGTCGTCGGGCTCTAGATGAAGGCAATTGGGTCTAATTAGAGTGGGATGTGGGCTGATTGATTGATTGATCTGAGAGACGAAGAGGAAGAGGAAAAGAAGTGGATGAGCTGTTGAGAAGTCTGAGAACCGAGTATGTAAGCTATGACTTTGAAAGGAGTTGCTGCAGGTGTAACTAGGTACTAAGGTAGGTATCTAGAATCGGAATACAGCTCGAATGCGTCGATTAATTACTATTAATTTCAAAAGAAGCCAAAACATGTCAAACAGAAAAGCCATGTTAGATTTATCATCTTATACATCCATCCATAATGGAAGCTCTATTGCCAAAGTAAGTAAGCAGCCGTGCAAATGACTGTAGCTCTCTCAAGCCAACCCCGCCATCAGAACTCCGATATCGATGAGGAGGGGCATTTCTCTCTCCCATCCCACTAACAGTTTCTTCCCCTGCTCATAGCGGAACCACCCGATTGGTCAGACTTTTCAAGCATCAATTCTGCCCAGTTCATACAATCAATCAATCAATCAATCTTAATAAAGCATCACCTCAACTCGACATTCAACACGACCGATCAAAGTCACACGAAATGGCCTCTTCTCCAGCCTCACTACGCTCTCTCTACCGCTCCCTCCTCCGCGAGCTACCGCCTCGACCCATTCTCGCCTCACCACGGTCTCCCCTTCACTCCCGCCTTCGAGATTCCTTTTCTTCCAGCTCCAAGGCAGCGACATCACAAGACGCCCGCGCCCACGCGGCTGCCCAGGCCATCGCCTATCTTCGATCCCAGCGCATGTATGCCACGTTACTCGAGCGTTATAACCCTGGTATGGGTATGGATGAGGAGGAGCGTGTTCGCTTGACCGCTAGGAGGGTCGGCATGGATTTGCCAGTTGAGTACAAGTAAACGGTTGGCGGCGAAATAGAAATGAGACAAGAGACGGGAGAAGGGGATGGAAAAGGGCCTCAATCGCCATGAATTATCAAAGAGAAACGAACCATGACTTATCAAGCCATCGAATGAATCAAAACACCAAGCGCCAAGCGATTTCCAATAGCGAATCTACAGACGGGAGAATAGGCCAGATGGCATCCAGCACTCAAGAATATGGCGGCGGAGAAAAAAGCCTCGATCCTGACCAAACCCTTCAATTTACGAATAAGTGTATGGAACAGAAAAAGACAGACACAATACCCAGGCATCACTCGGTTATGAAGAACAACCATATCATCGTCATATCTCATATAAAAGGACATCTTTGGTCCAGGATCAACAAATTATATACAGAATAATAGCGTTTCCAGTCATCAAGCCCATCTGGCTCAGGGGTATCAACTTCTACTCACTTCACTTCTCTTCACCTTCTAGACACTGCCCACACCTCTGTCTTCGAGCGACTCATCCCAGCCGCCCATTTGCAATAGCCAACCTCCTAGGCGCTCTTTCACGAGCGTTATGTTATCGCCTAATGCACTCTTCCATTGATCTTGAACGAGACGGACCTTTTCCTTCAGATCTTCCGTAAGTCGGCGTTCCTCTGATTGTCGCATTTGCGCCGCCTGTGCATTGCTATCTGCCTTGGGAATCGCGTTTCCGTTCTCATCTTGGGTCTGCGTCTCGAGGACCTTACCTTTGGCGTGAACCACAGCCTCTTTGACCTCGTGAAGTAGACACAACAGGTTGGTGTGTGATTCGATGAACTGGTACGTGCTCTTCTCGGCGTGAAGCAGCAAGCTAAAAAGATACTGCATCGGATGCTCGACGTAGGATGGGTTTTCCTCAATTTCCGATGCTGGAATCTGGATATTGAAGCCATCAAGGTCGAGAGGAATATTATCCAGTAGCTCACAAAGCGGAGGCGCAATATCCCAAAACGCCGACAGCTGCAGTGCAACACCATGATCCACAGCCTTTTCAACCACTCCTCGGAAGTCCCGGGTCCGTTCCAGAACCTCGTGAGCGAACGCATATTCACGCTTGGCCGCATCTTCAGCAAAGAAAGCCTCAGCTGACTTGAGCTTCTCGGTATTTCCGGAAAGTCGGTAAGGAGTCAGTACAACCTCGCAATATCGGCCGTTGCGATCCGAAAGAAGATCGTAGATGGCCCGGTAAAGACCCTCTCGTGCCTCAAAGACCCATTTAAGCAGCGTCAACTTTTCCAGAAGTTCTGGTCTATCGTCGCCCTCCTCCTGCGGCATGTCCGCATCTATCTGCCCGTTATCGAACAGATGTCGGGCTAGATCGTCAATCAGCTCTGTGGCGCTTGAGATACGCCCTGTCAGTAGTTCATTCAGAGGCAGTACCACCTGATTCTGGAACAATTCGTATTCGGACTTTTCCAAGTCCTTTTTCTTTGTTATCTCGCTGGCCTTTGCATCAGCATCAATAGCTCCCGCATCAGCATAACTCAAGCTGCCAGCATTGATCTCATTCTGCAAGTTTGTACGCAAAGCTTGACGGCGCTCAGACGCTGCTTTGGAAAATTGTTCTCGACGTTTGGTGCTCTCGACAGTGAACCGCTCCTTTGTCTTGGCCAATTCATCGAGTTGACTTAGAGCTCTCACGGCTGTTCTGATGGATGTCAACTCAGGATGTTTGTTATTGACAGCGGGGTGGTGTCTTGGATAAGGAGGAGGCATGGTGACAAGGCGGGAAACATCCAAGTGGTCGCGGTTGATCGTCGAACAGGGACTAGAGCCCATGTTTGACGTGGCGGCGAAGCCAAATTGTTGAGGAGTCAAGTTGGGCTCCGACTGATCATGCCAGCCCGTCTTTTCAGGAGGATACTCGGATGAAGAGCCTTGCTCCTCGTACACCACAGACGGCTGGTCCTCCTCGACCCACTGTGTCTTGGTTACGCCCATATACTTCGACTCTCTCTTGGAACGTCCGAGATGGGAAGCTTCGCCTTGTGAATCTGATTCCCACCAACGGCTCGGAGGACGACCCCGTGAGCTGCCATTTTCATAGTTTTCGCTGACACTCATACTCAAAATTGGCGATAACGAGGGCATATAATTGCTGGACCAGTTCACGTTTGGTGGATTATTCCCGCTCGGCGACGTCGGGACATTGACTGTTTTAGAGGCAGACTGAGGACCTTCCCCCAAGTTTGAACCTATAGAGCCTCGACGAGAAGGCCCTGGCTCGGATAGTCCAGGGGTCCACTGATCTTGCGAAGAAGCTGACTCTCGCCTTTGGCTGACCATTGGCCGAAATAAGTCGCGGGTGAGGTCAAAGATCTCTGAGCCCATAGCCCCAATAGCGACAGAATAGCGTTCTCGTCTGATCCTTGATTCATTGACAACAAAGTCGGCGAACATACGCACCCTATCCGCATCAGTAGCAGCTCTCGATTCTCTAATCGCAAATTCGCGGAACCGATCGATAGTCCCTTCTTCAAACTGATCGGCAGTCTGAGTCGTAACCAAATGTTTCGATACCAACAGGCCGGCGGAAGGGGGCCGAGAAGACTCCCGGACCCTTGAGACCGAAGCCACGGATCCGGACCTAGGAGGCGGAGTAGGGAGCGCCTTTGGAGCAACAACCTTTGAGCTGCTGGCATATATCGGTTGCTTAGAAGCGTTGGGGGAGAAAGGCGGTGTTTCCGCTTCCTGGGGCAGTTTCCCTGATGATGGGGCTCTAGGGGTCGAGTTTCGAGAGTCTTGCGATGCGAGTGCGCCACTTAGAGGGGTCGATTTACCGATTGAAGTCCGTGAGAGATCAGTCGTATTCGGTACCATTATGTCGGCCATAGAGTCGGGTCGAGTCCGTTCATCTATAGAGCCACGGACACTGTGCCGGGTCCGACTCTCAGCCCTTCGCTGCAAAATTGTTTTATCATGTCTCACTGCCTTTTGCCGATTGAGCCCGCCAGTACTCGATGAGGACCCTAGAGCAGGTTCAACAGGCTGGGTGGATGGCAGCGACGTGTCAATCCTGAGACCCGGTGAGCGGCTTCGGTTTGAGGGGCCTGCTTGACTCCCCGTCTCGTTCCAGTCTGCAGGTGTTGGAGGAACAGGTCCGAGTTCTGTGACACCGGTTGGTGGTCGGCGTCTCTTTGTAGGAGGAGATATGATGGGAACTGTGTTCCTATCTATTGACTGTACGCTTTGCGACCGGCTTGAAGCAGGCGGGGGCCCCGGTGGCGGAGGTGGGAGAGGCATGCCTGGTTCCCATCTGGTTTGAGACGCTGACCGTGACCGAGCAGATGTGGGTGTCTCCACGGCTCCTGCAGATACGGCTCTTCGAGCCGCTGGCGGCCCATGAATCATAGGACCAGCCATTCCATGCTCGGGAGTAGGTTGTTGGAACGAAGTTTGCACGATCATGCTCTGTCGATGGGCTTGAGGAGGGGGCGGCTGAGGCGGAGGAGTGCTGGAGGTGTCCATATCTCTACGGCGGCCTAAGGATGGCAGAAAGCGGCGATCTCGTGAACCATTTCGCCCATTTACACCCGGAGGAGGAGGAGGAAAAGATGCATTGGCTGGCTCAGGCGAAGGTCGATGCACCATTGTGCTTAGTCGAGGCGGCGGAGTCGGAGTACCAGCTGGTGTAGAGTCGAAGACGGTACTCATGGGACGCTGCTGTTGGCTTCTAGGCGGACTATATGGTGGAGGCGGCATTGGCGACACTGAGGCATGTTAGAACGCTAGCAATAACATGATGTTGAGTTCTTGGTCACTTGCCTTGGACTTCGCCAGCATATTGAACGGCGCGCTCGGCGACAGCAGCCTGTGTGGGAACCCATTCTTGGGGGTTGTATGGCTGTATACTACTGCCAGGTGTTTGCACAGCAGAGTGAAAATGACTGGAGCTCATGGACACGGCAGATATGGGCGTATGTAGAGGGTTGTTGAAGGCACCTACAGACGATGTCGTGAGAGGAAGAAGGCCTTGACGGAGTCGCGCCGCTTCGTGAGAAGTCATGATGAAAGATCAGAGGGACCAAGCGACTATGGAGTAAGAATTCACTCGGGCGCCAGGTCCAGGGTCCCTGTTTCAAGCCACAACACCAAAGGATGAGGGAAGTCTAACTTAGAAACAGCTGGGTATCGTATCAGGGCTGTCTCTTTGGCCAGTTGGTTCTGGTACGTGGGGTACTAGGGATTGGATGGATCCGCGGGGTGGGCGGCGCGTGCGAGCAGCAGCCCAGCAGCAGTAGTAGAGTGAGTCGATGCTCAGGTGAGGATCGAAGCAGTCGAGACTATTTTGAGACGACAAGGAATAGGTATGGCTATGATGACTCTCGATCTGGCCCGGCACAGCACAGCCGGAAGAGAGAACTGACAGAGAGACGTATGTGTGTAAGTAGGTATGTTACAGGTGAGGCTCTGTGTGTGTAAAGGACGCCGCAGCTTGTCGAGGTTGGTCAATTGACAAGGAGGTAACGAATATCTCTCATGAAGCCATTCACCGTAGCTGCGGCGAGGACGAAGAGTACGTCCCCTAATGCGCAACCAACCAAATAAGAAACAGAGATGTGATTGAGGATTGGACTGCCCTTGGATGTGAAAGGTGAAAAGAGAGAAAGTGGTTGGGAGAGGGGCTCTGTAAAGGGAAATGGATGTACAGGTCGCAGTTGGAGTAGCAGCAGGAGATAGACCCCTGCATAAGTCAAGTCTAGTCACCTTTTACGGTAGGTAGAATGTTGAAATCACGACACCTCATTTTTTTTTTTTTTTGGCGGTGTCAGCGGGAGCAGGAGTGAAGTACAGTACTACATAGTAGGAGAAGCAAGTACATTTCCGAGTTGATAAACTGGAAACCGTTCTCGGGTTTCTGTTTATTGCCGGAGAGCCAAGCCCTGCCTAGGTAGGTACAGTGTATACCTGCTTTGGGAGAGACGTACTGGGGTGGTCGAGCATTGCATGGATGATGGACGCTATCTCAAGGTGGGACAAAGAGATACTACAAGGTATGTATGCTTCATGGGACCTTTGTCCACGGCCAATTGGCAATAGAAACGGAGGATCTACAAGCATGGCTTTCACTATCAGGCACTAGCTAGTTAAACTTGAGGGGATTTCTACTAGGGATGACGATGACAGAGCACCTTCGACCGCTTCTTGCAGAGTACATACCTAGGTAATTCAGCTGACACAGTTGAAAGATGGCGTTCATTATATGTCCTAGTTGGGGTGTCTGTAGATCCTAGAGGATGCATTGGTGTAGTAGCTACCTACCTAGGGATGGATAGGTAGGTGCTTGGTTTATGCTTTGTGTGAGTGCTGTAAGCAGAACGGATTGTCTGTCTGTCTATGTTTGTCGCCATACAAAGACGTTGAATATCCCACATGGAAGCTGAAGGACCTGCTCGATCTTCCTCCTCCGACCCCGCTGAGTGGAAAAGGTTGGGATAGACTTGGAGAGAAGCTAAGTTTGGAGCGATCCGTCGTGGTTCTATTCTTAGACTCATCCCTTGGCTTCTATTGGCTGACAAAGATTGACTATGCGGGTTGAGTGTGGATGCCGGCGCTTAATGGACGTCCCTCGCTCCCTGTCACATATCTCTGCCCTCTGAAACTCTCGAGACCCATGACCGGAAAGACGTTTGCACGGCTGGATCGAACTGCTGCATGAGATCCATGTGCAGGGGGCCTTCATGCTGTGGGCTGATGTTGACTTTTGGTCGCTAAACTGAATAACTACTCGTTGCAGAATGCAGAGTGCCATTGGAACTCCCGGGGACCAAGTTATCCGAAGAGAACAGAACAACAACGCAAAAGACGGTCAACAAATAAAGTTTCAACTGCCATGGGCCGTTTACTATTAAGATCAAAGATATGCTTGGTGGAGTTGATTCCATAGCCAAAGCCACCGATCAAATAGCTTATAAATCTAAGCCGGGGTGAAACTTAGAATGATCTATTTCTATGAATAGCTCAACCATGGTATAGGTAAAGGTACCTAGGCAGCTAGGTAAGGTGGAAAGATGTACAGATCTGGCTGACTTAACCGGAGGCTACAAAAACTTGGGACCTCTATCATGAGTGATGTAAAGGCTTAGGTAGACCTGGCATATATTTAGTAGACCTCGGACTGGACGTTCTTGGCACCTTTGTTGAACGTTAGAAGCCTTTTTGCGCCTTCGGTCGGTATGCTGACCACAGAAGTATGTACCCTTGTCCAAGCGAGCATGAGGCATGATCATAAATGTGGCGGCCATACTTAAGTCCAGTAGCTGCTCTCAACCTCCAAGTTGCCCATCGGGTTTCTCAGATAAATCTTGGCCACCCATACGAAATTCTTCATGATTGATCGTTCGAATCCAACCATGGAATGGAAGCTATCGAGCTTGATGGGCGTGTATTGCCCCTTTAAATCGATACACCTGTATTGGCTAAGCCAGCTTTCTGACACAAAGCTGATCGATGCTATAAGTCTTTTCGTTGAGTGTTGAATCTCGAGCCTTGACACAACTGTCTCCTTGGATCAATTGGGATGCCATTCGCAAGCAAGGTACTTGTAATCATAGGGGCCTAATCTTGGTGGAAAAGCTTCGCCAGTTGACATAACGGAACGAGAGGGTACAGATCATCTATTTCTCATAGAACTTTTGGATATATCCTTTCCCCGTTATCTATCAGTCCTTCGTTAGGAAGAATATTCTTACCGAGGCTGAAGAGAAGATTGTTTTGGTTATCGATAAAAATGACGAGGCTGGGTCTTGCTCTGAAATGAGCTGCCCCACTTGGAGCTAGCTCTACCTAGGACACTGGAAAAAAGGTGGGGGCACAAGGCTCGAGTAAAATTCTAGAGGATTCTTCTCCAACAAACTCTCCTCTCTTTTCAACTCTTCATATTCTGCTCTTCTCTCTCTGCCTTTCCTTTGCTATTTATTGACTTTTTGACCACTGCTCACTCTCTTTCCTTTCAACATCTTTCCTATACCTCCTTCACTAAACTGTAAGTACATATAACACGTTTTTGCACCAATTGTCGCATCTTTCATGATGAGATATCCAGCTGGCACCAGTCATAGAGTGACTTGTACTCCCTTCATTGATGACCAACATGCTGTGGTCTAAGACCATTTCTGATTCCAATTGCGACTCTGCTCTTTCATATTCATCTCGTTCAACTATCTGTTTGGAGTTTTAACTAACAGATTCAAAGTCATCTAGTATACACACCCCCTTCAACCGACTTCACAATGGTTCTACACAACCCCAACAACTGGCACTGGGTCAACAAGGACGTCTCAGCATGGGCCAAGTCCTACTTTGACGAGAGCCTTACAAAGGTTCAGGCCGAGGAGGGTGAGGTCAAGGCCAAGATTGATAAGATCCAGAGCATGGATGGCGACGTTGATGTCAGCCAACGCAAGGGCAAGGTGATTACCATTTTTGACGTCAAGCTGGTGCTCCAATACTCTGGTAAGGGAATGCGGTGATCTTGACTGCCAGACATGACAACTAACCATTCAGGATCTGCTCCCGGTGAGGATGATGTTTCTGGTACCATTACTGTGCCTGAGATCGCCCACGACACGGAAGAAGACGAGTACGTGGTACGTAAAACCTCCCCTGCTCTTTCGCCTTCCGTGTTGCCGTAGAATAAACCTCGCTAAGAACCCTCGTAGTTCGACGTAGACATCTTTGCCGAGTCCAAGGAGAAGCAACCCGTGAAGGACCTTGTCCGATCAAAGATCGTGCCCCAGTTGCGCCAGGAATTCCAGAAGCTTGCCGGCGCCCTCATCGCCGAGCATGGCAAGGATATCCAGCATGCCCCCGGCTCCAACCCCTCGAGTGGTTTCTCGACTCCCAAGATTCACCCTCAGAGCTCCACCCCTAAGCCTGCTGCCGCTTCCAGCACTCAAAGTAAGACCGGCGGTGTCGTAAACACCACTACCGTGACCGACAACGAGGAGTTCCGAACCACCGCTGAAGAGCTGTACCAAACCTTTGTCGACCCCCAACGAATCGCTGCTTTCACACGATCTCCTCCCAAGGTCTTCGATGGCGCAAAGGTTGGCGGGAAGTTTGAGCTGTTTGGCGGCAATGTGTCTGGCGAGTATCTTGAGCTCGAGGAGCCTAAGAAGATCACACAGAGCTGGCGACTGAACCAGTGGCCTGCCGGTCACTTCTCCAAGCTGCACATCGAGTTTGACCAGAACGACGTCGACCACGTCACCGTTATGCGAGTCAAGTGGGAGGGGGTTCCTATCGGCCAGGAGGACGTTACCAAGCGTAACTGGCTCGAGTACTACGTCAAGAGCATCAAGCAGACTTTCGGGTAAGTTTCATTGATGGCTTTTCTTGCTCACTTATACTGACCATGAGGGCGTAGCTTCGGCACAATTTTGTAAGCATGCTACAAGACCAAGCAGTCGTGGAGTCGGGGTCAATACAAGGGTAATGCGCTCTCTAGATGAGGGTAGTGACGGGGGTTTGCATAGTCGCTGCTGTGGCGGAGGAGGGCGAGGGTCGTCTTGGGTGATCTACACAAGACCTAGAAGCGTGTGGTTACGATATCATGAGAGACGTAAAGCAAAGCAAAGTAAAATGAAGTAATGCATCAATGGTCAAAAGCCACATTGTACCATAAGTTATCTGGAGTATGTTTAATACCTCGCATGTTCACGTAGTGTGCCTCTCACATCAAACTCATTGTCCCGTTCGTCCTTTGTTCTTTGTTTCTTCCGAGTCACTCTGCTGTCCATCAGATGATACACTGGGTTTCAACATGGCATCCTCTTCCCCTCCCTTTCGCGTTGAAATCCGCAGCTTGCCCAGATCAAACTCTGCCACTGTATATTCAGACGCTAAGCTAGCCACTTTATTGGACAGAGCCGTTGTCCCGGTCTCTGCCAGAAAGACATGTTGCCCTATCCAGGAAGTCAATGCTGATGGACCAAGCCATCCATATACGGTATATTCAACCATGATGGAAAAGCAACCGAGGATGATAAACACAATGGCAGCACTGATATGAGAACTAGTATTCTTATTTTCTCTCTATCCAACGTAGGAAGGATATTTAGCATCACGGAATGATTCCTGAGAGTTGAGATGCCGAGCATAGTCGAGGCCATTGCTGTGTTGAGCCTGCCGACTAGCCCATGTATCGAATAGATGAACATATGCTTATGTGAAACCATAAGATAACAGAGCAAATGCAACACCAACAATAGCTATCCAGGTCTGGATGCTCCATTCATGGCCGACACTGAAACGTGCCTGACCTGGTGGCCTTGCCCTACCAAGTTCATCTTTCTCTTTGCGACCTAAGAGAGCATTTGTCCCAACAAAAATAATGGCGGAGCCGCCGATAACAATCGCGAGCAGAGAAAGAGCGCCGAGCATCTGCAGGCGTCGAACCTGAGGAGGCTGAATGAAGCCAATCACGGCATAATCGTCATTGCCTGAAACTCGAAAACAGTCATGTATGAAGACAGGATATTGTACGATTGCTTGTAGTGCAGGTGATCCAGGAAAGAAATAAACATGGTGACGTCTCTTGAAGACTGACATTATTGAGGCGGACATCCATAGACAGGTAGGCTCCTGCAGTCAGCCTGCGGATCACTCTCTGCGACCGGCTCACTCAATCCATATACAGATTATCACCGCCTGCGCCGTCTCTCAGCATTGGGTTCGTCATTTTTGTTCCCAAACCCATAGTCACGAACAAATATATCGACCAAATTATCCCACAGTCCCATGTCGTATAAGTTCTCGACATCGCTCAAGTTCCAGACCCTCTCCCACTCGCCTTCTCCAGGATATCGAAGCTCATCCTTTGGTGGCTGTCCATCCTGAGTAGTGACAATGACCTGCTGGACCTCGACTGGCCAGCGCGTGAAGCGAGGCTCAACTCGTTCGTTCTTTTGACGATTTGCTGGCATAGAGCGACGAAAAGCAAAACCATCCCGCATATCTTCTTTCCAATCCGACCATTTGAGGGTTTCGTTTGTCGTAGTGCCACAATAAACGAGATAAAGCGTGTACAGAAGCAGCCCCCAAACCAATGGAGACGTCAGAGCTGCAAGGAGTGATGAGGCCCCCATGTTGACGTTGTCTTGAATGCCCCAACCCCAACCAGCCAAATACTGACTGACTGTCATACCTCGGGGTTTCCACACAGACCAGCCAGGAGTGTACCTCTGAACTCGTACCTTGATAATGGACAGTCCAAGAAAGCCACCATATGTGCACAGAAACGCAGTAGAGATTAGTAGCAGTATAAACCAGTGCTGGTTTCCGTAACCAACGCATGAATTTATAAAGACGCAATGATGATCAGCCTTGGCAACACAACGTTTGCACAGACTGCAGTGCTTGGAACGAGCAGGCTTAAGGAACTTGCACGTACGGCACATGTGCCCCGGGTGGAAAAGCGTGTGGTCATAGGGATAGAGCGACATGTAATAGGCGTGGTTTTCAGGCGTAATGTAGCCTGGATCAGCAGCACATGCCAGGTAGAGGAATAAGTAGGGGAGGAACACGGTAACCACGACAATGAGTTTGGTGAAAGATTCAATCTTTGGCCACGCTTGAGGAATGAACATGTACTCGCCCACAACCATAATGAGCATGAAGAAAATCTGAACTGTTATTTTGCCGCCATTTCGAAAGCACTCGCAGGACAACTCACCACAACAGTCCAGTGTCGCTCATGTAGCATCATGTTACTAAACCGGGACAGATAGCTCGATACTCTCCCTCCTGTAAGCACCTCATCTATCCTAGCGATCAAATTGGGTATATGAATCCATATTAACCTATGCAGTGCGGCTATAGGTGTTCGTCTATCCCGAGTCAGTATCTTAAGTTAAGTAAACAGGAGACAATTGCAAGACGAACCTCAGAGCAGGTATTCGGCCAAAAAAGGCTACAAATACCATGAATGAGATAAACAAGATCAGAAGAACAAGTTTCTTTAGGGGACTCATGTTTTCGATTTGTACAAAGAGCGAAGTTCGAAGAATGTAAGAATCAAATTTGCCAGCTAAGTGAGAAGCTTGGCAGGAGACTGTGGGTGGTGGCACTGAATCAAGGCTTCATTTTGCTAGGTAGGTTAACAGGAAAAAAGATCATCAGGCAAGACCAAGAAACAGAAAATAAAAAGAACATGAAAACGAACAAGTATAGTAAATACGTCAGATTCCAACCTAAAAGAATGATTGTCAACAACATGACAATGCCCGGAGGAAGCGGGCTTAGATGTTATGTATATAAGCCATGTTCGACATCTCGATAGAAAGATAACGGGATCGGGCACGTGATCCCGTGATAACCTCGATGCGAAAGAGATGCAGCCCGTCATTGGCTGATTCCAGCCCGCAGTGATGATGGCGACTTTTCCCTTGGAGGGGGATCCCCATGCTTTGATAATCATGAACTAGGAACGAACGGGCGGGTTTCGGAGATAAAGCAGTAACAAAAATAAAACCTCCTTTTCATACTTATAGACCACCTAAAAGAGACGGTCCTCTCTCTAGCTTTACCCTGATATTCTTACTCAACCATGGTTCTCCGCAAATTCGAACTTGAGGGAAAGCTTGGCGAAGAAACTCGGCTCATCGAGAGTGGCGTTCTCCTCGAGGAGAATCCTCTTGACGAGAGCCCCGAGTTCAATGAGTTCCTCATGGCGTGCCGACATGGCGATCTAAAGAGATGTCAAGAGCTCATCAGCCAAGGTGTGAACATCAATGGCAAGGATCGTTTCGACTACACGCCTCTCATCATTGTAAGTGTTGGAAGTGATGTAAGTCATCAGAGCTTGGAGCTGACACAGGCAGGCAAGTTTATGTGGACACTATGAGCTTGTCCGGCTATTATTAGAGTCTGGTAAGTTTGGACTTGTACAATTGGTCACTATTTGTTGTTCTTTCATCATAAACAAATGTCTTGCCAACCTGGCACTTGCAAGACTTGAGACCCCAGTCAGCCAGCCACTAACACCCTCAAAGGCGCCCTAGCAGAACGAAATACTTTCCAAGGGGAACGATGCATCTACAATGCCCTCAATGATCGCATCCGCAACCTTCTCCTCCAATATGACTTCTCCAAGTCCTCAGATCCTTATGTCTACTGGTCAACTCACATCTCTACTCTTCTTGGCCGTACAAGCCCCAAGACAACAGATATCACCCTTGTCTCAGGCTCTCGTTCTTTTGACCTTCACAAATTCATCCTCATAGCACGGTCACCTTATTTCCGTGCTAAACTTGCTGCTGTCCCTGATACCACCACTTGGAAACTTGCCAACGCTGTACCTGTGCAGTCTTTCATCATTGTCTTGAGATACCTCTACTTGGGCGAGGTTCCTCGTGATATCGCACCTGTGGGCGGTGCTGACTCTGAAGAAGAAGTTTTCAAGGGCCTAGACAAGGTCAGCAAACAGCTCGAGGTTGAATCTCTATGGGAGACTATTCTCGCAGGCGGAGACAGGAGACTTGCTCGCCAACGGTATCAATCTGAAGTTGACCGGGCTCGAGGGCAGTTCGAAAGTTTCTTCAAACTAAATGTCGTCGGACTAAAAATGGTTGTTGATATAGACCAGGTGAAAGATATCAAGTGGAAATATGACAACTCAATGTTTGCAGATGTTATCCTTCGCGCTGATGAGCCCATCGATATCGAGGATGAAAAGTCTGGCCAGACAACACCGACGAGAGACGCCCCTACTATACCGATTGGCCCAGCCGGAGATCAAGAAACAGTCATAAAACGCAAATCAGTCCTTTATCCCGCTCACAAGGCAATGCTCATTCGAAGCGAGTACTTTGAGAAGATGTTTTCGGGTGATTTCGTCGAATCCAAACGAGATGAACATCTCCGAATCATCACCGTCGACTGCACGCCCGCAGTTCTCGAAATCATCCTTACATACCTCTACACCGAGACTGTTAGCTGCCCCCTCGAGCACGCTTTGGACCTATTATACGCTGCAGATATGCTGTTCCTCGATAATCTCAAGAGTAAAGCTGCTCTGACCATCAGCACGCTTGGCAGCGGTACATCCAATGTGCTGGTAGACCGCACTCATGGTGAGGCGCAAAGAAACGGCAACACGGGTGAAGAGGACGAACAAATAGAGATGGAGCCCGTCAACATTTACGACGTGATACATGCAGCGTGGGATCTTCGTGTCCAGCGATTAGAAGAGTTCGCTGCGCGTTATCTTGCATATCGCCTAGAGGACTACATAGATGAGGAAGACTTCCAGGCTCTCATTGCAGAGTCTGCCCAACGGATCACTGTTCGTGAAGAGACAGATACTATCGAATTGCTGGACGATATTCGGTATTACCTTGATGATCGATTTAGATATCGCTTTGAGGATGCAGGTCTGGAAGACATG